ATAAGAAGAAATCCGACGTGTCTGTTGTTGCACGTCAATATATAACAAGCAGTTATATATTAAGATGTTATGCAGAAGTACAACCATTAACTTTAGGTCTATTCCATTTCTATCATCTTTAAACGTAAATAATGAAACGAAGCAAGAAATTTGGCTACTAGCTGTAGAAATTTTTGGTTCTTCGATACAACGTGTATCTAAAAATATGATGGTGGTGAAATGTAAAGATTCACCTAAGCATCCATCCATCGTATTAAAATATTCATTTTTTGTTACAAAATTAAAACCAAGGAGATGGAATATCGTTATTTTTGTTCTTCTTTATTACGTTTAAAGTAAGCGTTGAGAAAAGAATCAAAATTTATTTATAATTAAAATATTATTATCAATGTTGAAAATTAATTTAGGAAAGTATAGGAAAAAGTACAGCATGACAACGCGAACCAGATGTAGCACAACGTTTCTCAAGATAAACGTTGCCTAAATTATTATGCTTTTTATATATTAGTGCACTTACCAGCATTTACAAAATTGTCAGAAGAATTTAGTTGTTATATTAATTTAGATGGAAATGAGTTAAGCATATCAAAACAACATTAACATTAAGAATGTTATGTAATGACGAACAAGATAAAATAAGCAGGGGTTGGTAAGAAGATTCGTATTAATTTTTTATGAAATATTCATTTTACAATAAAAAAAAATTTGAGATCTCGATAGTTTGAATACGAAGAATATAGATACACGTCTTTCGAGATGATGAGTTTAACAGTTGAAAGTGAACGGACGGAAGTAGATTAAATTTGGATTCAACGATTCAATTTAAAATCTACTATTTTACCACATAGTATCGTTGAAAATATTGAAGTAGAACGTGATCGTAACCTTATTAGAAGATAATATGACATCTATCCAATATATCTTAATATGATATTTCATATTACATTTCAATGATATATCAGGCTATACTATAGATTGGCATTGTGATATTATAGAAGTTTGAAAATGATATGATGAACGATATGTAATTAAACAAATAAATGATAAATTTATGAACGATAAAATAAACGAATAAAAATAAATCTGATGATGTTTTCATGTAAACAGCGGTATTCTTACGCATCCAGAAGCATTCATGACAACAATAATAATCTTTAAATTATTAATGAATGCTTTAAAAAAAGAAAAAGCAAATGTAATATAGAACTAGCAATTTGAAAAATAATTTGATAGTTCGGAAGGAAAAGAGATAAGAAGTCTAAAAAAAAAAAAAAACTGATTTAAACAAATATATACAATAACGGGTAATATATATAGTAAAACTGTCATATTTCACATGAAACGTAATAATATAAATTATCTAATACTATGTTAGACACATAGAGAATTGATATTACTATTATTAGTTTGATTAATCGAGGTCTTCTTTGTAATTTAATATATAATTTTATATACTGTCTTATAAAGAAATTCAATTATTACGAAAAAATTTTTTTTTAATTAAAATTTTTTTTTGTATAAAGCAATATATTAAAAATTTATATATAGAATAATTTATTTTTGGACAAAAATTTCTATGAAATCAGTTGTCATTTTTTCATGTTTTGTATACAATTTCTTTTGGAAATATTTTTTGCTATCTCCGATAATGGAGCTTTAATTATTTTATAATTTAAAATTTTGCTTTATCTTATTAACATCTATGAAATGAAATTATTTGAAGAAACGGAAATAATATTGAAATATAAAAAATTGATTACACTCCTTTGAAATGATATTCCATAATAAAAAAAATGGTTTCACATTATTATACTCGGAATAATTTTTAATATAAAACAAAATTATTGTTGATAAGTATTGGATAACATAAATTTAATCGAATTTGTGTTAAAGTGAATGAAAATTTTTTGCGATCGAATATATATATATATATATATAAAAAGTTCGTATTAACAAGTTAATAATGAAAAAGTACAAATTTTACATAAGTGGATTAAATTTAAATTCAAAGAATTATTTCGATTTGTCATAATGAAATTAAAAGTTTTAAACACTGATCCTATTTCATGTGTACATATATATATATATATATGTATATGTTTTTAGAGTAGAATATCTTAAATAAAAGAAAAAACTTAGATAAAGATTTTTGATGAAATAATTTATCAAAAAATTTATATCTTTAGGAAAAATATGCGATCATGACACGTATTATTTGGTAATATCAGTATTTTCTGTTTGAAAAATAAATTTATGATGCCATATATTCGTTAATTAATTTATTAGAAATAAATATATAACGAATTATGTTGAAATAACATTGTTAACAAAATGTGCTAAATTATTAATTTATAACAATTTGATATATATTGTTAATATATGTAATACTTTAAATCGAATGCTATTATAAGAGCTAAAGTATATTTACATTACTTAATTTGAATGTGGTTTTCTTCCGTCATGTGTATTTATTTTCTAATACCGTTTTTGTGAATTTATATTCTTTTGTAAATCATATTCGTACATATTAATAATATATTTAAAAATATAATATATTTAATAGGAAATATTAAATAATTAACATATTTAATGCATAATTTGAAAATATTTCTCTGAATAAATAATACGTGTGATTATAACCTATATGAGGAGGTTATAAGTATCGTATGAAAGTTAAAAATTTACGTTAAAAGAAAAATAAAAAAAAAAAAAAATAATCAGTCGTTTGAAATAAATAAATATTTTCATGAGTGTTTAGTGAAGTAATACAGTTTTGCTTTTCTTATGTATTGTTTCTTTAATTGGAAAGTGTAAAAGTGTAAATAAGTTAACTACGTTTCTCTTCAATATTTTTACTTATTTACATTATAAAATTTACAATTGTTTATATAATAGTATTTTAGAATATAAATAAATATAAATCTCACGTATAGTTTGCATCTATATATATATATTTTCATAGTTTTGTTATTTTTAACATTCTTTTTAAAATTACACGATATAATAATATGAATTATAATAGTAGAGAAATAATTAAACTCGTATAATTTTTTATGTTTAAATATAAACATATTAATATATTATTAAAAATTCATAATAATAATAATAATAATAATAATAATAATAAGAATAAGAATATTTTATATTAATATTATTAAAAATATTTTGTTCCATAATAAGAATTAATTCTCTATATTACTAATTAAGAATAATATTATATTATTTAAGTACATCTAATGAGGAGCTATTTTTTGACTTAGATAGAGCTACATTACGTGGAATTAAATATAGTAAAATATTCCAAAATGTTGAACTTGTAATGGATCTCGTGATTTGTGTTGCAAAAACAAACAACTGTTATTTAAAGAACCTGGTGAAAAAAAGAAAATTGTGAACCTAAGCATATATGAACTTATTACAGGGACAATTGTTCAAGTTTTTTCTGTAGAAAAATTGGAGATTGGGATGCAGACTATCGTGGAATTGTTCAACTGCCATTAATAAATGCCACAAATTCTGATGAAATGCCAACGCTTATTTCACTGCATTGTTTTTTGTTGTGAAGGCCATGAAAGGAGTTTGTACATTAATGCTCTTAAAAGTCATGTAAGTTTTTCATGAAATCATATAGTTAAAAATTAAACTATTTATTGTTGCATAAAGCAAATATTAACATCATTGACCTTTATAGAATTTATAGAAATTTATAGAAATTCCAATATTCTTTTTTTATCTTTTTTTATTTAATAAAGATTTCAACACCAGCAATATTATTGCACTTCATTATATGGATACATAGGACCTGTATGTGTCCTAAGGTCTCAACCTGACGCCGCATCTCCGACAGTTTATTTTGATGTTTTTTCGTTTTCTGTAGAGAGTTACTTTAGTCTCATATGTATTTGTTCGTAATCTTATTGTGTCCAGATATCTGGAAAACTCCTTTAGTTCAAGGTTATAGCCAATTATATCTAATTTTATCCCCGAAAATTCGCTGATTCCCTGATCTTGAGATGCTAAATTTTTCCATCGGTTAGTTTCCGCCCTTTTCAATGTTCTGACGCGCAATCTCTGTCTCATGGAATCGATTTGACCATTGAAAGCTAATGGAAACCGCATATTTTTGAATGTTCACCTCCCATTCTTTGTGAACTAATTAGACTGCTGGATCCGAAGACTCATTTATTTTTAGAGCATTTTTAAGTTTTGGTATCATAACTATGTTAACAACTTTTTGGACGCTTAGAGCACCGTAACTTTTGTCCGTATAAATTACTTCGTCCGTGGCGGAGTTGCGAATCGCTTTTATCGTTTGTTTTAGTTCATGATCAATTTGGTCTAGGACATCCAGTGCAAGTGAGTTTGTCACCATATATGGATGTACTTCGGCAAGATGTGAGTTCATATCAGATTAATTTTCTGATGCAGTTTTAATTTGAGTCCTTTAACGCTATTTGCTGCATTTTTAATATCGTTGATTGAGGCTTTGCATTGTCCGTTCCATTGGCTAAGAGTGGCTCCTAAATATTTTCTTATGTTATGAAGGTTGGTGAACGGAATCTGTTGCCAATTGCGGATCTTCTAGGAATCATGTCTTATCTCTGCAAGGGATCTTGAAACTTGAGCATTTGGAGGCGAAAATGCTGAGTTTCTTAAGATAGTTACTTAGGATAGAATTTTGTTTTTCAGCAATATCGCCATCTTTAGCCAAAAGGACAAGATCATCAGCGAATGCGAGGACAGAGATGTTCTTTGTTCTTATTCGGATTGACCCTCTGTCGTCAAGTGTCCCTATTACGGGATCTAAAATGAGATTAAAAATAATAGGTGAGAGCGGATCTCCCTGTTTAATGTCTCTTAGTATATCCAGTCTTTTTCTTTATAATGAATAACTGTTTTAGAGCCATCATATATATTCTGTACATATTTATTTATCACATCAGGTAATTGGCAGATAGTTGGAAATGGCAGTATAGGGATTGTGTCGAAGGTTTTACAGATGTCGATAATTGTAATTATTCCATTTACTTCTTTCTTTATTTGCGCGAGGACATCTCTGAGAAAGACGATGTTTTTTGTATCCTTGTTCTTGAAGCCTTTCTGCCGCGGATGCTATTTGATTTGTGCCCGCAGCTTCCTATCTATCATCTCCGAGTACATCTATCCCAGGAGAGATCCGATGATAATTGGCCTCTAATTCCCAACTTCGTCCACACTCTTTTCCGGTTTGGGAATAAGTGTGGTGCGATCTACTTTCCAATAGGACGGGTAAACTTGGCTAGTTAAAGAATTTAGATAGGACATGCAGTGCTCCTTTTTGTTTCAGGTGGAGTTTTTTAATTTGATCGAAGCGGTGTATCAGCCTTAATTCGTTTAAGTTTATCGACGAGATTCTTCACAGTGATGGGAGTCCATATATCACATATTTCTAGTGATTATACGACCGGCTATATATCTTTAAGGGCATTATGGGGCCCAATTCTTCAGTATCCCATAGATCACTGTACAGTGGACCAACTTTCGGCTTGAGGGAGACTTATGGCTTCTATACCATTATTAAGCTCATCCATCAGCGCCAAGTCTAGGAGTTTCCTAGGGCATCGTTTGTATAATTCCTGATGCTTGGCGTACATGTATCTCTTTCGCTTACTATGGGTGGTACTTTTTATTTGAAGTTTTATTATTTACATTCTTTTTGGTATATGTATTTAATCGGCTATTCTCTTGTAGTGCATCGATCAAGCTCTGAAGAAAGACGTCAACTTTGTTGTCTATGATTGGTCCTTCCACAAATAACTTTTCAATGACACTTTCTATCATTTCTATCATTATCATCGAAGGTGATTATCATTTTCGAGGTAGTTGGAAATAATATAGTTGCGAAACAGCTCTTTTCAGCTTTTATCCCCTTGAGCCATTCGCAGGTTATCTCCACCTTCCTCCTCTGGACGGTAGTGGTTTCGTAAATATTTTCCTCGGAGTCTGAAGAGGTGGGTATTGTATTTGTGATAGATGTCGTATCCGCTTCCTGAACGGGCAAGAGTTTTCTTTTATCATTGATTTGCTTCAGGGTTTTGTTTGGGGAAATACGTTCTGATTGCTACGTTAGATTGTTTGAGGTGCTTGAACCTCTTGTTCAGACTTATTAAGAGATCGGTTTCCTCTTTAGACAAGACTGAGGCTTTAGTGACTGGTTCCCCGATTGGTGCCTTCTGCTCTTTTGAGACTTTTTTATTTTGGGATATCTATGCAGTTTATGCATAGGTATCATGTTCGGTTACGTCGACTACGTAAATCGTGTCATCGTCTTTTATGACTAAATCGGGTTTACGCAATTCACCACGCTCCCTAAGAATTGTGATATCTTTGAAGACATTGTTCGTTACTAAGTTACAAATTTCATTGTGCTTTTTCATTTGCTTGCTTTTTGCATGGGTACATAGCCCCAGTATGTATCTTAGACTCTCGGCCTGCACACCGCATCTCCGACAGTTTATTTCAATGTCTTTCCTCGATCTTCGGAGTGCTACTCTGCTTCCATGTGTTGGTTCGAAATTGCGTTTAAGTATCTGGATTGCTTTAGTAATTCTGAGTTATACAACCATTCGTTTCCGATTCTATCCCCGAAAAATTCTTTTATGCCTTGTCCTTGCGAGGCTAGCTGTTTCCATTTGTCGGTATCCGCTCTCTTTAGTTTCTTTCGTGCCGCTTCAATTTCGTCAACTTCACATGACCATTGCAGGTTTATGGATGCTGCATACTTGTTGATAATTTCCTATATAATTGCCCATAGAATGCATTTTGGACTACTTTGTCATCCGACATTTTTATTCTTTATTTCTTATTTTTGCTAGCTTGACAATGTTTGCCACCCGCTGTACACCCAAACCACCATGATTTTTGTTTATGTAAATTATGCCGTCGGTTGTAGACGGATGGAGGTGCAGTATTTCTTTTATTATTTGTTTTATTTCGTTCTATTTGTTCTAGGGTACCCAGCGGGGGGGAATTGGCTACTAATTTGTGGATATATCTGGGCAAGAGATATGTCCTTATTAAGTTGACCTTCTGATGCGGCTTTCAGGTTTTTGACGCGCCTTGCTGCGTCTGTTATTCTTTTACTGAAACTCTGCCTATTCCGCTCCACGGGTTAAGCGTGGTACCTAGGTATTTGATTACCTTTTTTGGGTCAGCGTATGGTATGCTTTGCTGACCCAGTGATAATTGTGGATTACCTATGAACCACATCTTAATTTTTTGGAGAATTTGGAATGTGGAGCATTTGTCTACGGATACCTCCATTTGGAGGTTGCTTAAGTATTCATACAATAGCCGTGTTGTTTATCGGCTATTTCTTTGTTTTTTGCTAGAAGGACAAGGTCGTCCGCGAAGGCGAGGACTGATATATTCTCGCCTCCAAGTTTAATACCCTCCGTCGTCTCGTCGATTATCCCAATTATGGGGTCAAGAGTCAAATTAAAAAGTAGTGGCGACAGTGGGTCTCCCTGTTTAACTCCTCTCAGCACGTCCACTGGTATCTTGATATCGTTTTTACAATTTATTATTGTTTTACATCCTTCGTGGATGTTTTTTATGTAATTATATACAAGCGATGGAACCCCTTTTGCTTTTAAGCCGTCTCCTATCGCGCTGTGGGGGACCGTATCGAACGCTTTTGTAATGTCGATGATTGTTATAACTCCACCTAGTTCCTCTTTCATTTTGGTGAGGGCATCGCTGAGGATGGCTATATTGTTTTTACAATCATCCTCTTTTGTGAACCCCTTCTGTCTTGGGTGCTGCCTAACTTTAGATCGTATTTTTATATCGATCATAGCCGAGTACATTCTTCAGCAGAGACCCGATGGTAATTGGTCTCCAGTTACCAACTTCATCCACGCTTTTTCCTGGTTTAGGAATAAGCGTGGTACGGTTGATCTTCCACTGTGCTGGGTATACTCGGTGCAGCATGAAGAGGTTACACATTTTAGCGAATACATGCAATGCCCCTTTTTTCCGGAGGTGGAGTTTCTTTATTTGATCCGTACCAGCAGCGGTATCGGCTTTTATTTTCTTGAATTTATTTATGAGGTCCTCTACCGAGATAGGGGACCATATGTCTTTTGTTTCAATGGGGGTTCCATTCTTTGTTGTTTTGATACTGTTTTGGGGCCCCGCTTGGCCCCAAAGTTTTTCATATAGTGGACGAACTGAGTCAGCCCCTGGGAGGTTGACCACTGTGACGCCATCTGTATTTTTGCCCATTAGTGCCAAGTCGAGGAGCTTTCGTGGGCTATTTTTGTATAACTCTTGGTGTTTAGCAAATTGGAACCTTTTCCTTTTGTTGTGGGTATTTTTCTTATTAATGCTTTTTTGTTTAGGTTCCTTTCTCGATCCTTGCAGACTTGGCACTCCTTCTAATAGAGCGTCGATGAACTTTTGGAGGAGGACGTTTGCTTCTTCCTCTGTTACCGATTCCTCCACCGCCATGCACTCTATTTCTTTTTCGATTTCTCGAAGAGGGTTTTCCTCGTCGAGGTGATTTATTTTGATCTTTTGTATAAATGGCTCTCTCCAGTTTATTTGAGCCGTTTGTGGATTGTTTCCCCCTTCTTCTTCTTCTGTGGCCGATTCGTATATACTTTCTTCTGAAGAGTCCGAAGGGGGCGATCTTGGATCGCTTTCATTGTCTATGTTGGCCACATTTGTTGGTTCCTGAACGGGCAGGAGCCTCCTTTTATCGCTTATTTGTTTGATTGTTTTATCGGGGAAATACTCTTTGAGCGCTACATTTGGTTGTTTGAGATGTTTGTAGCGCTCGTTTAATATTTTTAGAAGATCTGTTTCTTCTTTGGACCAGACCAAGGCTCTAGTGGCTGGTCTAGTATTTCCCCGACTTGTGTTCTGTGCTCTTTTCGCGTTCCTTATCGCAGGATGTCTATGTAGTTCGTGCATAGACAATCCTCTTTGCGATAGGAACGTCTCCTCACAGGAGTCACATTTAAATTTTGCAACACCTTTATTCATTTGGGGTCCCTTACACTTAGATAAGTGACATCTGCAGCCATGAAGTTTTTCGAAACTTTTAAGGCATGCAGCGCACCTCCATATTATTTTCCCATCTGGGTGTTGCGTGTCTCGGTGTTTAATGAATTGTGCTTCCTGGAGGAATCTGATGTCTTTTCCATCTTTTGAGCACCATTGGCACTGAATCTGCCCGTTCAGGGGTAGGTCCATTACACATTCCAAATCGTTTTCCATAGGGTTGCCGGGGTCATTACCAGTGGCCCTTCCATCATAAGCGGACAGGTCCGCCACGGAGGCCCCAGGGCCGGGAGCCCCCGTGTCCGAGGCTTTACTTCTTTCTGCTATTATTAACGTATTGATAAGGGGAGTTAGAGTGTTCCCCACACTTCTTCCATTAGTTTTCCCACTCAATGTCCGGTCGTGGGCGCAGAGCCGCCTAGGAGGGCGGATAGCCACCCAGTCGCCAGATTTAAGACAACGTGCAAGTGCGGGGCTTGCAGTTGGCTGGGGCACAAGTACCCTCTAATATCGCCTTCCTTCACTTCGCTTTATAAGATTCAGCACTAGCGACTGATCGGACACCTGTCCTCCTAGCTAAGGGTAGGTGGGGTCGCTGCTCCCCATCGGTGTGCACCTCACCGCCCTTGCCTCGCCGTAACTGGTTTTGAACTCTATGATCTTCTGAGGAGAGATCGATAGGCATTCCAGCGGGATCATATGGAGGTACAAACTGCGACTTGAGATATAAGAAGCTATATATATATATATATATTGCACTTCATGCTCCCGTAATTCTTAAGAACTCCGCTTCGCGCAGCACCAAAGCTTGCGTGCAGCACCTCATTGGGTGCGTCACTAGTCGCCATAGCGATATTCCCGAACGACCAGTGGCGTATTGCTTGCAAACGCCTAAGACATATAGCTTGCTAGTACCAGCGGCGTATTGCGTGTAAGCACCAGCGGCGTATTGCTTTCCTGGTCGCGGCACAACGGAAAGGATACAAGGGCAAACTCATTCTTCTCTGTGTACTAAGGTCTAGCGGCATATTGTTTTTGAGCTCAAGTGGAATTGGAATAATAGTCGTATGATATATATTAAATACGCCGTCTTTGTATTATATTGTATTATATTGCGTTATTAAATTGCAAGTTACTGAATTGCAAGTTACTAAATTGCAAGTTACGCCTAGCTGGAAGCGGCGTTTTAGAGTGAGCAAGAATGCCCAAATAGTACCTATTACCGAGTCATCTGCGGTTTTGTTTGTGGAATGATGGTGTGATGGCTGCAAATGTTTCATGTCCACTGTGGCGGCGTTAATGATTTTGCGCGGGCGGAGCGCTATCTCCAATAAACATGCTGAGGCATTTGATTACCAAGAGTCATAGTTACTCCTGCTGTTTACCCGCGCTTTTTTGAATTTCTTCACGTTGATATTCAGAGCACTGGGCAGAAATCACATTGCGTCAACACCCTCGGGGGCTATTATCGCCCGGATATTGAATTTTTTGGTGCTCTGGGCTTTTATTTTTTGGATATGTGTCTTCACTCGTAGGCCAGTGTCAAGGTGTATGTCTGAATATCTGACATTTTCTTTCTTTACTTGGCGACCTTACAATCGTGGTCTCCGCGGGTCGACTGCTCCTTAGCAAGATCATTTCCGTCTTCCTTGCGGAGAGAATGAGCTTCTCTTCAGCGCACAATTCCTCGGTTATTTTTATAGCATTCAGTTGCTTTAATCCGTGAGCAACTATTCCCGATTATTATTCACAGAAGGTCGTCTGGGTATGCAACTCGCATGCCTTTCCAGTCCAGAGTAAGAAGCAAGTCGTCGAAGGTTAGTTCCAGAAACTTGGTTCGACTAGTTCCAGAAACTTGGTATCCCCTCGTGCTGTGCTTCGAGATGCTTCCGTGTTTCCCGATGAGGTTCGCCCTCTCAGATGATCAGTTACTAGGATGTATAGGTTTCTAGGATAGTCTCTCTCCCGCAAGCGGTGGATGCTTCTTGGCTTTGAATTGTAATTTTTTATCGATCATAACCGAATATATTCTTTCCAGCAGAAACCCGATGGTAATTATAATGGTAATCTTCAATTTTTAACTTGGTCCGTGCTTTTTTCCGGTTTAGAATAAACGTCGTATGGTTGATTTTTTACTGTGCTGGGTATATTCGGTGCAGTATGAAGAGGTTACAATTTTGCGAATATATGCAGTGCCCCCTTCTTTCAAAGGTGGAGTTTTTTGATTTACTCCGTACCAGCAGCGGTATCGGCCTTAATCTTTTTAAATTTGTCTATAAGATCCCACAGAAATAGAGGATCAGATTTCCTTCAAGTCAAGGAGAATTCCACTAGCTTGTGTTTTGGTTTTACTTTGAAGCTCCACTCGGTCCCAGATTTTTGTATAGTGGATCAACTGAGTCAGCCCCAGGGAGGTTGACCGCTGTTATGCCATTAATGGGCTCATCCATTAGTGCCAAGGAGTAGTTTCTTTGGGCTGTTCTTGTACAACTTCTGGTGTTTTGCAGGAACCTCTTTCTTTTATTGTGGATGACCCTTTTTTTGTTTTTCTGTTGGCTGCTTGTTTGGTTCTTTGTTTCTTGGTACTATCCATAATAGAGTATCGATGAACATTTGAAGAAGGAAATTTGCTTTTTCTTCCGTTCTCCTTCTTCCGCCATGCACTCTATAATTTTTTCGACTTCTCGAATGGGGTTTTCCTCTTCGAGACGGTTCGAATTGATATAATGCAGAAACGGCTCGTTCCAGTTATCTTGAGCCATCTACATGTTGTTCTTTCCTACGTGGCTGACTTATATACATTTTCTTCTGAAGAGTCAGAAGGAGGCGGTCTTGGTTCGATTATTTCATTTTCACTGGCCACAGGTGATTCCTGATTCTTCCTCTGGTTCCTGATCGGGCAGGAGTCTCCTTTTATCGCTTATTTGTTTAAGCGTTTTATTGGAGAAATATTCTTTCAGCGCTGAACGTTCGGTTGCTTCAGGTTCAGGTGTTTGTAGCGCTCGTTCAGTGTTTTTAGGAGCTCTATTTCTTCTTTAGACCAGACGGAGGCTCTAATGACTGATCTAGTATTTCCCCGATTTATACTCTGTGTTCTTTTGACATTTCTTATCGCCGGATGACTACGCAATTCGTGCATAGACAGTCCTCTTTGCGATGAGAATGATTCCTCACAGGAGATACATTTAAATTTTGCAGCATAACCCTTGTTATTCTGTGGTCCTGTACACTTGGGTAAGTGTCATCTACAGCCATGAATTTTCTCGAAATTCTTGAGGCATGCAGTACCTCCATATTATTTTTCCTTCAGGGTGTTGCGTATCTCAGTGTTTAATGAATTGATTCTCCTGGAGGAATCTAATGTCCGCTCCGTTTCTCGAGCATCATTGACATTGAATCTGCCCGTTCAGGGACAGGTCTATAATTATTTCCATTTCGTTGTCTGTGGGATTGCTAAGGTCGTCGTCGGTGGCTTTTTCGTCTATAGCGAACAAGTCCGCCTCGGATACCCCAGATCCGGGAGTGCCCGTGTCCGAGGCTTTTACTCTATTCAACATGTTTAAAATTTAAGTTTGGGAAGATAGAGTGTTCCCTACACTTTACCCATTCATTGTTTCTGTTGTTGTCCGGTTGTGAGCGCAGAGCCGCCTAAGAGAGACAATAGTTCCCTAGCCACCAGACTTAAGACAATGTGTAAGTTTGAAAACTTTCATTTGGTTAGAGCACAAATACCCTCTATAACGCCACCTTTTGCTTTTATTTTAACACGTTTGTCGCCACATCACCCATATATGGGTGACGGGTATGCTTCGGGGGCCCCGTCATCCATATATGGGTGACGCTTTCTTTTTAAGAAAAATAAGATTTTAAATCGATATTTTGAAAAAAAAATTAATGAAAATTAAAATTAAATTTTATTTTATTAATATACAAAATAAAAATATTAAAATATTTACATTATACTATATTTTTTATTAATTTATATTTACATTATATAATGAAATTAAAAATTAAATTTTATTTTAAAATATACAAAATAAATATATTAAACTATTTACATTATATTATATTTTTTATTAATTTATATTTACATTATATAATGAAATTTAAAATTAAATTTTATTTTGAAAAATAAATATATTAAACTATTTACATTATATTATATTTTTTATTAATTTAATTTATATAATGAAATTTAAAATTAAATTTTATTTTAAAATATATAAATAAAATATAATAATAATATATATAAATAAAATTAATATATATAAAATAAATATATTAAACTATTTACATTATACTATATGTTTTATTAATTTATATTTACATTATATTATGATATATTATGATATTCAATTAAAACAATTCAAACACATTTGTAGTGATTTTGAACATTTAGGACAATAAGTTATAACTTTTTAATATTTCTTCTAGCTTTTTAGCGTTCGACAATTTATCTTTTCTTCCGATAGAATGTACATTCTTCTTATAGGTTTTTCTTGGTAATTCTTACGAATATCTAAATAATGAGATATTTTTTTTATTTTATTTTTTTTATTGTTTTATTGTTTTTTATTATTAGTATTTTCCGAGAACAGCCATTCTCTAACTAAAAGTTTTCGGAATTTTCTTATTTCTATTTTTTGGTTGTAATTTTTTGGTATACAATATATGCATTTACAATGTTTCCAAAAGGAATGTAATGCCAATTTACGATACCACTTAATACTTTTTCGTATCGTTGTTGCATATGACATCATTTGATCATTTCTATCAACCATTATATCGGTTTTCCTATTGTTATATGCAATTACCGCCAATGGTTTCTTTTTTTTTAAGGACGACCGCGATGAGTCGAATCAGATCTCAAAGTTATAATGGGTGGATGCTTCGTTGATTCTAACATCGCGAACATCTCTCCATGTTAGCATCACAATACCATTGAGATCTTCCTGTGCTATCATTTTATCTCTTTTCAGTAAGTGAAACATAACGAAATTTGGCACATATTTTTTGTTGAAACATACCGTTCCAACAACATGTGTTTTAGCATTTAAAAACTTAAATGCTAATTCATAACTTGTATAAAAGTAATCCATAAATAAAGTGCACTCTTCATTTGTTTGCAAATTCAATACAAACGTCTTCGGCTATGCCAACTTTCCTTTTTCCGCTTGCATCTCTTCCAGTATACATTTTTGCGGACCATGTATATCCTTCGGTAGAACAAAGTTTAAATAATTTAATTCCATATTTATGGGATTTAATTGGTATATATTGTCTAAATACTAATCGCCCTCTCCAAGGAACTATTGTTTCATCAACTACAATATCTTGGCCTAGTGAAAAGACTTTTTGATAGTTGTTTGTCAGTATGTGTATGAGTGGTAAAACTTTTCCAACTCTACTATTTTGTTGTATGGTTTCATTGTTTGTAAAATGTAAATTTGACAATAATAATTCAAATCAATTACGAAATATTTTGCTGCGCGGAAATGGAAAATTATAAATAGGATCCGTTGACCAACATGTAATAAGCGGTGTCTGTACTAGAGCCATCCAAATCATCAATGCGATAAATATTTTAATTTTTTTGGAAGTGGTAGATTTCTATCTATTCAATCAAGCGTGATCGGTCATTTCACGTTAAAGCAATTTTTGTTCAGCATATCTATTAGTTTCTGTGACTAAAAGGCTTATTATTTTTTCATCCAAGAATAAAAAAAAAACTTCACTTGGGCTCATGTCAGATGGCAAATCCAACAGAAAAGCCCACTTTTTTCAGTGAACGAAAATGACTATCGCTTGTTAGTAAACTCGTCCCACTGTATATTGTCCAAGGAATCATCAGCAATGGTTAATTCCTCTTCTTCATTTATAGCAAGCTCTTCTAACATTTCGTCAAGGTCTTCACTTGCATTTCCTCATCATCCGAACTTGAACTTGATAAAATTTTATTTGTAAACTTTTTTTTAAAATTCACTATTTCTTCATCACTACTTTCCTTACTATCATTTATATTTTTATAGTGTGCTAACATTCTAATTGTATTTTGGTAAACTATATCGTCACTAAATTCTATCTACCTCGTCTATTTCTATTCTAAGTCAACTGCAAGACTATCGCGAGTTTGGTTGTTGTTTTTTCCTAATCCTTACTTTTCGTGAAAATGCATACAAAAAGAGGTTGGAAGAACCAATCATCGCGTTTGAGGGCGGTTTCGAAGGGTGGAGGTCAAGATTTTTCGCTGGCTTTCACGGTAGTCTATCGCATAGCATGCAAGTGTGACTTGTAAAGTGGCCATTGCCTGGTTTTCTTTGTTAAATTAAAAATCTGGAAAACATTAAGAAAATCATGCCTGCTCATAAATTACTGTTAGGTTATTAGAGATATCCGAATTGTTGAAAATAAAGGCCAGACCTGACCGCTTTACAAGTGCTGTCTCGCTCTAGTTTGGTTTTCCGAGCCAGCAACATTTGGGTCCCGTGAGGAACTCATCGAAATCACGCTGGGCGATGAACGTGTTAAGAAATTCAGCATTAGTGGCTGACAGTCTATTCGCTTTCTTAACTAAGGATAGGTGGATTCGCTGCTCCCCATCGGTGTTCTTGCCTCGTCGTAGCCAAACTCTATGATCCTCCGATGAGAGATCGATAGGCATTCCAACGGACCACGCGAAGAACTACGACTTACATAAGAGGTTATGTCTCCGTAACTATAATTCTTAAGAACCCCGTTTCACGCATCACCATCGCTTACGCGCCGCACCTCTTTGGGTCGTCACTAGCCACCCCAGCAACGCGCCGCCACAAAACAGGCAAGCGGCGTATCGCTTTGCAGCACTAGCGGCATATTGCTTTTCGACGAAGCGCAACGGATGGAACACATAGGCAAACCGTTGACTCATTCTTGTTTGTATACAAAGGACTGGCGGTGTATTATTTTTAGGCTCAGATGGAGGCGGCATAAGGGTTATATAATAAACGATAATTTGTCAATACAGTTCCAAAATAATATTGCATGTTACACCTAGTTGGAGGCGGTATTTTAGAATCAGATTTTACACTTGTTATCGAAGCGCCTGCGACGGCTTACTTTGTAAAAATGGCGTGATAGTTGCAAACTTCATATCCGCTGTGGTGACGTCGATGATTTTGCGCAGCACACTGGGCAGAAATCATATTGCGTCAACACTCTCGAGGGCCATCGCAATTCTTTGTTTTAATTAGACATTCGGATTCTTCTAATCCATGTCAGTTATGAGTTGAGCGTTGAATGGCGACCAAAGAGAGCGACCACGATGACAGAGCCGCCACGGAAGCCTCGCAGCAAGGAAGACCCGCGAGAGGCCAAAGCACGGGACCGAGATCCTGGGTGCGAGATACAAGACCATGCCCCGTTCAGCTCGCTCAGGCCCGGCACGTCAGCCAAACTCGCTTTTCGACTAAGCCTAATACGCTTCGCTCTTCAGAGCCAATCCTTATTGCGAAGTTACGGTTCCAATTTGCCGACTTCTCTTATCTGCATTAACCTATTTACTAGACTATCTATAGACTATATAATCTATAGACTAGAGACTCTTTACCTTGGAGACATGCTGCGCGACACCTCCACGTGGACCTCTCCTGGATTTTTAAGGTCGCTATGAACGCTTGGCCGCCACAAGCCAGTTAGCTGTCCCTGGCCGCCAGTCCCTGTGGTAACTTTTCTGACAAAATTAGGAACGGGGACCTTTTCGGGAGGCGCTCTTAGCCACACGCCGTAGCGTGTGTTGTCCAGGGAATGCCTCGCGGAGGCGTCGCCCCAGGTTCTATATAATAGAACCTGCCCCGCGCCCTATACGCACAATAGTGCGTCAGGACTCGCACCGCTCGGTGTAAAAGGCCGAGACGGGCTAAGTGTCAATCAGCTGGCATCTACCTTGTCGTATTATTATTTTCGACCATAAGTCTCGTTCGTTGGTTAATATTTAAATTGGCCTTGCGGCTTCGTCAAGTGCTGTAAAATTTAATAAATTAAATAAATTAAATAAATTAAATAAATTAAATAAATTAAATAAATAAATAAATAAATAAATAAATAAAGTATATAAATAAATAGAGAGATTATAATTTGTATATGCTTTTGCATATATATATGCATATCATGCGTGATCGTAATCCAGGAATTGATTTGCCATCTCAATTGACGATCGGAGGGCAATTAGCGAAGCCGTCAGGGCATGCTTTTTCTGGAGCTCTAGGACATTTAGATTCTCAATAGTGGCTCGGGGTACTGCCCCTGTGCCCCCAATTACCACCGGTAGTACACGGCCTTTATTTGCGATTAGTTTCCTTTTTAGAGGAATTAACTATTAATCTTTTGTATTTATTGTATTTTTCGTTATGAATCTTCCTTAGGCAGTCATTGTTCTCGTATTGGATGGTTATATCGACTACGTAGACTGTGTCATGGTCTTTTATGACCATATCGGCTCTACGCATTTCCCCGTTCACCACGATTTCGGGCTCCCTTAGAATTGCATTATTTTTGGGGATATTGTTCATTATTAAATCGCAAATTTCATCGTGCCTTCTTCTATTCTCTGGTTTTTTGTGTGGGTGCATAGTCCCAATATGTGTCCTAGAGTCTCGGCCTGGACGCCGCATCTCTGACAGTTCATTTGTATCTTTTTTTGCTCTTCGGAGTGCGACTCTTGTTCCATATGTATTTGTTCTTAATCTTAGTGCGTCCAGATACCTAGACGGTTTTAGTAATTCGGGGTTGTACAGCCATTCGTTTCCGATTCTATCCCCGAAAAATTCTTTTATGCCTTGTCCTTGCGAGGCTAGCTGTTTCCATTTGTCGGTATCCGCTCTCTTTAGTTTCTTTCGTGCCGCTTCAATTTCGTCAACTTCACATGGTCATTGCAGGTTTATGGATGCTGCATACTTGTTGATAATTTTCTATATAATTGCCCATAGAATGCATTTTGGACTACTTTGTCATCCGACATTGTTATTTTTATTTCTTATTTCTTATTTTTGCTAGCTTGACAATGTTTGCCACCCGCTGTACACCCAAACCACCATGATTTTTGTTTATGTAAATTATGCCGTCGGTTATAGACGAATGGAGGTGCAGTATTTCCTTTATTATTTGTTTTATTTCGTGGTCTATTTGTTCTAGGGTGCCCAGCGGGAGGGAATTGGCCACTAATTTGTGGATATATCTGGGCAAGAGGTAGGTCCTTATTAAATTGACCTTCTGATGCGGCTTCAGTTTTAGGTTTTTGACGCTCCTTTCTGCGTCTGCTATTTCTTTGACTGAAATTTTGCATATTCTGCTCCACGGGTTAAGCGTGATTCCTAGGTATTTGATTGCCTTCCGGGTCAGCATATGGTATGCTTTGCTGATCCAGTGATAATTGTGAATTACCTGAATCACGTCTTGTTTTTTTGTAGAATTTGAAACCTGGAGCATTTATCTGCGGATACTTCCATTTGGAGGTTGTTCAAGTATTCATATAATAGTCGATTTTGTTTATCGGCTATATCTTTGTTCTTTGCTAGGAGGACAAGGTCATCTGCGAAGGCGAGAACTGACACATTCTCGCCTCCGAGTTTTACACCCTCCGTCGTCTCGTCAAGTAACCCTATTATGGGATCAAGAATTAGGTTAAAAAGTAGTGGCGACAGTGGGTCTCCTTGTTTGACTCCTCTCAGCACGTCCACTGGTATTTTGATGTTGTTTTTGTAATTTATTATTGTTTTACATTCTTTATAGATGCTTTGTATGTAATTACATACGAGTGATGGAACTCCATTTGCTTTTAGGCCGTCTCCTATCGCGCTGTGGGGGACCGTATCGAATACTTTTGTGATGTCGATAATTGTTATGACTCCACCTAATTCCTCTTTCATTTTGTTGAGGGCATTGCTGAGGATAGCTATATTGTTTTTACAGCCATGTAAAACTTTTTAGTGAACCCCTTCTGTCTTGGGTGCTGCTTTACTTTTGATCGTATTTTTATATCGATCATAGCCGAATACATTCTTCTCAGCAGAGACCCGATAGTAATTGGTTTCCAGTTACCGACTTCGTCCACGCTTTTTCCTGGTTTGGGAATAAGCGTGATACGGTTGATCTTCCACTGTGCTGGATATATTTGGTGCAGCATGAAGAGGTTACACATTTTAGCAAATACATGCCATGCCCCTTTTTTCCTGAGGTGGAGTTTCTTGATTTGGTCCGTACCAGCAGCGGTATCGGCTTTTATTTTCTTAAATTTATTTATGAGGTTCCCTACCGAGATAGGGGACCATATGTCGTTTGTTTCAATTTCCATTTCTTGTTATTTTGATACCCTTATGGGGTCCCTCTTGGTCTCAGAGTTTCTCGTATAGTGGATGAACTGAATCAGCCTCTGGGATGTTGACTGTGACGCTTTTATTATGATCACCCATTAGTGCCAAGTCCAGGAGTTTTCTTGGGCTCTTTTTGTATAGCTCCTGGTGTTTTGCGTATTGGTACCTTTTTCTTTTGTTATGGGTGTTCCTTTTGTTGTTTTTTTGTTTAAGTTCCTTTTCCGTTCTTTTGCTACTTGGCACTCCTTCTAATAGAGTGTCAATGAACTTTTGGGGGAGGATGTTTCCTTTTTCCTTTATTATCGATTCCTCTTCCGCCATGCAATCTATTTCTTTTTCGTCTTCTCGAAGGGGGTTTTCCTCTTGCTTAGGCCTAATAGAATCTATCACAATGGAAGCTAAACCGCATCACGCTTACCTCAAAACCGAGAAAGAACGTTGCGGAGGCCTATAGCAACAGGATCAATATTTAGTAGAATATTTTCATTAATAGTGGATATAAGAATAAGAAACAAAATAAAATAAAGTAAGTCAAAAAAATTTCAAAAAAGACCAAAAATAATATTGAAAATATATAATATTTTGGTGAAAGTGAAAGAGAGGAGCTATTGCAACGATTATAGAGATATCGAAAGTATTTGATCTCCCATACTGCGTTCTAAACTTGAGGCGAATTGAAAACAGAAGCCCAAATCCAATGCGATAAGGTACACAATTTTCTAAGGAAACTGGATATGAAAGTTGCAATTAACAAATGCTCTTCTTTTCAAATTGTCAAGGATAAAATCTAAAAAGGATGACATCTAACGAATCTACAACTAAAAATGAGTGATGACCAAAAGATATCATTAAATATATTGGAACTGAGATCCATGGAAAGGGTTACACCAAACCTCAATTGAAGAAATCATGAACGTAGTAATGAGTGTATCTAAGATGCATTAAAATCGCATCAAAAAATAATTTAATTCATATATTCCTTCTGCCCAGATACATATATCGGCTATATGTACATATATAGCTCGCCCGCCATTGCTGAGACACCTGGACCGCATAGATAAAGAAACAATGATAAAAAAATCCTTCACTTATACACAACCACTACAGACAGTTTATTATACACAGAAAAGATTATGGAGGTCTGGGCATCTAAAAAGTAGCCAACATAGTAAAATTAGCAAAAATAAGGAATGCCTTAAAAATAATGGAATCTGAAAATCAAGCTATATGCAAAGTATACGCAAGGCAGAAAGGTATAATGCAAGAATATGGCGAGTTCATAGATCTATAATGGCCAGCAATACTCGATCAGATCGAACCAAATGAATAATTTTAAAAAAGAAGAAAACAGAAAAATTGGGAAAAACAAAAATTATAAGGTCAGGATATCCGGGAATTCTTCGGAGATAAGGATGTTGGTTATACAACCCGAAACTATTGAAGCCATCGATGCATTAAGATTAAGGACGAACATGTTTAAGACGTGATAGTAAAACATGCGAATAATAACCTAGATCACTTTTGCAGAAGATGCGAAGTGCAAAGCAAAAAATTGGCTCATATCCTTGGAAACTGCATGCAACGAAGCCAAGGAGAATCAAAAGATATAACGAAATATATCATTTGACAATGGAATTACCGAAGCATACAGCAGTCTTCGAAGAATCGACTGTTAATGTAAGAGGAGAACTGCAGAAGCTCAATTTGGTGATTAAAGACCATAACAAGATTTTCGTAGTAGACATAATGGTAAGGTACAAAGACAAAAATTATATTAGAAATGTTTTTAGAGAAAAAATAAGGAAGTACAAGGAAATAGCAGAATATATTAGAGCAAAAATCAATGGTTTAAAAGTAAAGGTAATTCCAATAGTAGGATGCAAAGGAGCAATACCAAAAGATACAAAGCAAAATATAAAGCTCCTCGGTCTATCTTGTAGGAATGTAAAAACAGCATCATTAATATCTTCTTCCGCACTTCAATCGAAATTGCAAATCAGTTCATTGACAATGAATAAATTCTGTGATTAACAAAAGTTAAGAAGAAAAATCGAAAGATAAATAAAATATTATATATATGTTATATATATAATATGTTATATATATGTTATATGTTATATATTGCATGAAAAAAAGCAACTGCCAACTGATTTAAATATAACTAATAAGCCGTTTAGTTTCAGCTCTATACACCGAATGATACGACTCCTAACACACTATTGTGCATCTAGACCGCGGGGCAGAGCTCGCGCAGTGAAACTCCGCTGCGCGGAATTTGAGGTGATACCTTTGTGAAGCAATCTCTGGGAAACACGCTTCGGTGTGTGATTAAGATCGTCCTCCGAAAAAGTCTTCACTCTTAATTTTTCGAGACTTGTAGATAGATTTTTTGATGGTGGCCGCTGGAGCGTGGATTCAAATCAAATTATATAATTATATAAATTATATATAAATTAAATATTATTATATTATGCTCTTCGAGGAGGGTTTATCCTCGGAAGTCTGCCGCGATCCTTCTGATCGCAGACGCATTAAAATAGACAAATGCCTCATCATATTAGTGAGGCGCACGAATGGATTAACAAGATTCCTTTTGATTCTAGATTCCCTATCTACTCTGGAGTTATTGCAGGATTCAGGACTATATAGTGGCAACAAAATATTATAAGTGCCACAGTGCTAAGTATTGCCGCAGTGAAAAAGAAATCTGCGGCTATTGTGCAGCGAAAGGACATATCTTTAAGAACTGTCCTAACAAGTCAAAGAACTCCGTCTATCACCATTATAAGAAGAGCGGGAAGCCATCCTCACACACAGTAACGGATAAAACTTGCCCCTCATACGTGGCTGCGCTTAATCAAATGCTGTTAAGAACAGACTATGTGGTCAGTAAAAACCTAGGAAATGGTCGCGAGCTTCGACTGGCCCAACTTAACATGCGAAGATCGCAATATGTTACGCTGGAAATTGTAAGAGTAATGGAGGAAGAAAATATATATCTTACTAATGGAGGAGTCTTACAATCCAAAAGTTTATCGGATTCAGTCAACGCATGCTTATAATAAGTGGGATTGGGTCGGGCACCACAGTCATGGTCGGCATCGTCGTCAGAAATCCGATGATTACGGCCATCAAGCTAGCGCATCTATCCGATAAACATTGCGTGTGCGTGGAGCTGGTCGGGACGTTCGGCCGAATATATTTGGCCAGCATTTCTTTCCAATGTTCAGATATAGTGAACCCGTATATATGGAAGATAGACAAAATCATGGTTGCTCTCCAAGGGAAAAGGTAATTAAACTGGCCAATGTAAACGCGAAATCGCCCCTCTGACACTGCAGACAAGCGGATGCCCGAGGGGAGGAGATTGAGCTGGTGCTGGCACGCTTCGATCTTACGGTGCTGAACGAGCCGGGAGCACCATCGACTTTCCGTTCGCACTCGGGCGCTTTGACCATTGATATAACTCTTGCATCATATAGCATTCTCAAACTCGTCAAGGAATGGTCTATCGTGGAAGACTGGACAACCAGTAATCACAACGCAATACGAGTAAGCATTGTACTGTAAATCGATCAGCGTTTTGATTTGAAGAAGGTTCCAGAAATATCTTCTGGAGTTGCGGGAACGAGAACACCTAAGAGATTACCTCAGCCGACGAGGTCTCCTCCGCAGCAACCGCCTACAAAGCAATGTCATCGAAGCATCCAATCATGCCATCAGTAATGTGGTGGAAAGAATCCTGACCCTGCGGAAAAGGAGAATGTATGCTGCGAGGAAGACATTTCAGATGGAGTGTACTCCTGAACTGTTGGAAATGAAAAGAACCACATGAAAAAGTCAGACGCGAAAACTGGCAACACTCTTGAGGGCAACCGCGACCCATGAGGAGTGATATACAAACTCCGCTGCAGAAAGATCGCGCCATAAGCGATAATAACAACACCGAAGAATTGAAGGGACGGCGATGGAAGACCATTAACATGGGAAATGTACACCCATATGCTGGATTCCCTGACCTCGGACAATATGCCGGATAACACAGTCACCCAAAGAACAAAACGTCAGCTGAGGGACAACCCTTCGAAGACAGATGATGTCCCACCTTTCGACAAAGCAGAGATCCGGTACGCGATCAGAGGAACGGGAAAGCGCCAGACCTCGACAGAATCGAGATCGAAGCTCTTAAGGCTGCCTATCAGATAATCCAAAGGGAGCTCAGGGATCTTTTCAATGCGTGCCTGCGTTATGGCTTCTTCCTAGAGGTTTAGAAGAGAGATTCAATCCGTGCCCTTCTAAAAAAGGCCCCGATAGAGACGCATCAGACCCGGCGTCATATTGACCGAATTGTAATAAGGAAATACCTGGAAAAAATAATAATAATTAAAATTAATAATATTAAATTAATAATAAAATTAATAATAAAATATCTGGCTGAAAGACTACCGCTATTTCTGGATCGCCGATGCGGCCGCGAACCAATTTGATTTTCGCAAGGGGAAGTCGACAACGGATGCGATCTTAAAAATGAGGGAAATGATCAATGAGACGGCAGACAAATATGTTCTCGCCGTCCTGTTTGATATCAAAAGAGCATTTGACCATGTGTGGTGGCCGATCATACTCCATCGCCTGCAGGAGAGAGACTGTCTCAGAAACCAGTACGCCCTAGTGGCGGACTTCCTGAGGGATCGAACAGTGTATCTCGTCGGGAAACACGGAAAAATCTCGAAACACACCACGAGGGGATGTCCTCAAAGTTCCATCCTCGGACCAAGTCTCTGGAATCTAGTCTTCGACGACCTATTTCTTACCCTGGATCGGAAAAGGATGTGGGCCATCGCATACGCGGACTTCCTTGTATTAATAACCGGGAATAGTCGCTCCCGGATCGAGGCAGCGGGATAAGATGTATAAATATAATCGAGGAATTGTGCGCTGAAGAAAAGCTCACTCTCTCAGCAAAGAAGATGGAAATGATCCAGCTAAGGGATGCACTCGATCCATGGAGACCACGGCGGATGAGACTGCAAGGTAGCCAAGAAGGATAAAAACAAGTGTCAGATATCTAGGCATATATCTTGACATTGGTCTGCGAATCACGACACACGTCCAAAAAATAAGGCCCGGAGCACCGAAAAATTCAATGACCTGGCGGCGATAGTCAAAAGGGATTGGGACCTGGGTCACGCATGTCTATCAACATTGTAAGGAAGGAGGAAATGTTTATTCCGATAGCAACATATGCTCGTGGTGCGACAGTCTCAATAAATCGGCTCCACGTTGGACCAGGTCCAACGTTTTACTCTGCTGAAGGTGACAAAGGCTTATTGCACAACCTCAGCCGAAGCCTTGTCGATAATAGCGGACGTCTTCCCCATCGATCTGATGATCAAGGAAATGAAAACGAGGTATTGGATGAAAAAGAATCAGAGTGATCCCATCCCGCAGCGTGCTGAAAGGGAACTTATGGATATATAAATAGGTTCGTACGACTTTCGTCGCGAAGTAACAAACAGGATGGGACCAATCTACGAAGGGAAGACTCACACATAGTATATTTCCCGAGGTCAAGCAGAAGCTGTGATCTAACTGAATATTGCTGGATCATCACATCACACAGTTCCTGACGGGACATGGAGACTTCGCGGCCAAGCTGGAACAACAGAGACTGCAACGACTCGCCACATGCGCCTGTGGCGCAGAACGGGAGACTTCGGAACATGTCCTGCTAGAATGCAGACTGTTCGAGCGAGAACGTCTGCGACTGCGAGAGAAATGCAGCATGGCCACCGAAGTTGAGAGAACTCTGTGGACGTACCTTTTATGGGGTATTTAGGGAAGTTGTGGGAGAGATTCTGCGAATTAAGGAAAGGAATTGGAAACTCCGACCGTCGTAGTACCAGAGGTATAACCCTATCTGCGGTAGCAGGCGGTACACTAGTATTGATGCAGTGGGATTCAACGGTAAAAAATACCGACCTGCACGGGACCGGGCAATACCAACGGCTCTATCTCCTCATACCCACTGGACGATGTGGCCATGCCGCGTCCATCGCTGACTAAACGAGCCATCTCCAACTTGTCTCCTGCGCCTAGCTGCCGGGGGGTAGGGTTTTTCCAAGCCCAAGGCGGCAAAACGCCGACGCCGTCCGCTCTCTTACGCAGAGGCATAGCGGGAAATAAAATGCCAACAATATCAGGTGGACCAAACCGATATAGGGTTACACCTCCCGAGAGCGACACCATCGTCCATGACGATGCAACACCATATATCCCTATCTACTGGGAAACGCCATTTGGTTCCGAGCAATGCGGACGAGTCTCCACGTCGTTCTGTATTTCGGAGCAATTCTAAGCGAAATAAATTGTAAGCTGTGTGCTAACGTATTTTAGCAGTGGAAATACATTAGTGGCTGTATTTTCAAAATGATTGGACTTGTAGAAGGCAGTAAATTCCGAATTATCTTCCCGGAGTCGCTAGGAGAGCGACACCGTGGCGGCTGCCACACTCAATTCCAAATTTCTCGGCTTTTCTCGAAAACGCGATGCTGTCTTCACTTGTGTCGTTAAAGGAAGAATCATAGTGTTAAATTTTGGTGGATCAGGTTTATTTGTAAATGATAAACGTGAATAATTGAATTAGGGCATGCTTGGCGGCGATATTGGATGATTTGGCGTTACTCGACTGCAGCGCCATCAGTTGTTTGTCTTCAAGCCACTAGTGATTAATGATGATCGGCTGATTAACTCCCGACTCGTGCATGTGATTGGGCGACTGCAGCACCACCAGGCGTTCATCATTGGTACTTGGCGCTGATTGGCCATTGACTCGCGCCTGTGATTGGACAATCGAAGCGCCTCCAAAAGCGCCTTCAACTACGCGATGTCAAAAGCAAACTTGCCACGGACACATCCGACGTAGAGTGCGAGAATCTAAGGATCTTTCCCGAAAAGGAAGGTATCTTTCAGCAAAGCGCGAAACTTTCAGCTTCGATTTGTCCAAGAGGAGGATTAAGGCAAGATACAAGAATAGAAATCCTAAGAAAAGCACCAGCAAGACTTCGAACTCCTTAAGAAAAAAAAGATATCTCCACTATTCAAATGAGGATGAAGGCCGAGAAGATATATAAAGACATCTTCAATATCCTATTGGATTCGGAGAATAATATTCCGAAACGAGTGCTGGGACAAGTACTGTCTAAAGTTGCAAAACTGCAAATATTGCTCCATTGCAAATATTATCCACAATAGTAATCTCGAAAGGAAAATCGTAGCACTACACCAAGGGACGCTATTTCAGCTAGGAACGCTATTCCAGCAACAAATATTCCAAAATGTAATGGAGAGAATTGCGCAGCAACGGGACAGAAACTCATATACGCAGAGCGTGTAGGTGTATGGTTGAGAGCTGTTTTCTTACAAACACGAAATGGGATCCCTCGAATACCGTCACAATAATCCCCTTGGACGCAAAAATAGAAAACTAAAGAGACAGAAGAAGATAATCTCGCCGGTCACTGAGAAGTTAAAAGTGAAATCGTAAAAAGAATCAGCAGAAATGGCATCCTCGTGGAAACAGTAGGATAAAGGGATCTGGCGATTTTTCTTGGAAACCAAAAACTGAAGGAAGCGTATTTTATAGTCGGCGTATTTTATATCCCGGCAGAAAAGTGTCCACAAGTAATCATTTATGTTGTTCCCAGAACAGATAGCGATGAGAGATTAAAACCTTTATCGAACAGAATGTAGAAAAGAATAAAGAGAACAAATAAAGCATCAAAAACAATCGGCTGCAAAAATAAAAACAGATGTAACCAGGTCTTAAAAACGTCAAGAAAAGCGCGAGATATCCTAATCAAAATCAGAGGCTTTATATTGGTTGAAGCTGCAAGATCCAGGATTAGTGTGACGAGATTTTACAAGTGCCACAGCTTCGGCTACACCATCAAGTTCTATCGGAACGAGAAAGAAATCTACGGTGATTGTGCGGCGGAAGGGCATGCCTTCAAGAATTGTCCTAACAAATCCAAAAATCCTGTCTCTTACAACTGTAAGAAAAGCGGAAAGCCATCCTCACAAATCGTAACGAATAAAATTTTTCTTTCATACGCGGCGACATTGAATCATTAATCAGATGTTATTAAAAAATGGCCCGTAAAAATCCAAGGAATGGGAGTTTCGATTGACATAGCTAAATATGCGAAGGTGCAATGTATCACCCTCGAAATCGCATGAATAATCGACGAAGACATTGATATCCTGCTCATGTAGAAGTCCTATAAGAAGGAAGGTTCATGGGATTCGGTCGGCGAGTATTTGTAATTTTTAGAGGCAGGTCCGGCACTGCGGTCATGGCCGGTATCGCCGTCAGGAATCCGATGATCATAGCTACCAAATTGGCACACCTATCCTACATTACGTGTATGTGAAGATGGGACGGCCGAATATATCTGACCAGCATCTATTTCCAATGTTCGGAAATCGTGAAGCCGTATGTTCGAAAAATAGAGAGAATCATGTCCGTCCTTTCAGGGGAAAAAATAATAATATCGGCAAATGACGTTAATGCGAGATCACTCTTCTGGCACTGAAGCTCGGAGAGAAGAGACTGAGCTGGCGCTAATATATCTTGATCAGTGCTGAACGAATCGGGGACAGCCTCGATTTTTTCCTTGCATTCGGGCGCTTCGGTTATCGATATAACTTTAGCATCACAAAGTGTCCTGAAATACATCAGGGAATGGTTCATCATGGAAGAATGGACAATCAGTGACTATGCAATATAGATATATATGGCACCGCGGATTAGAAATTCAAGCCGCAATTTCCGAGGTACAATATAAGAATGGCAGATTGGGGAAGGTTCCTGAAACATCTCCTGGAGGATGAGAATGACCAAACACCGAAATTGTCTCGGTCAGAGGAATCTCCTTCGAGGTAATCACCCTGTAAGGCAGCGTCATCGAAGCATGTAATCATACCCCTAAACGAAGAAGATAATGTATGTAAAATCGGTGACACGATAGATAGAATCCTTGACTCTGCCCAAAAGGAGAATGTACGCCGCGAGAAAGGCATTCCAGACGAAATAGGTCTCTGAACTGAAAGAAAGGAAAAGGAATATATATCTGAAACACCAAAGTATAAGACTACGATTGAAAAAGTCAAATTAAAGCTGGTAACGATTCGTCACCCTCGAAGGCAACCACGATCCATAGAATGTAGTGTACAAATTTTTCGGCAGGAAGGTCATGTCGGAAGCGGTAATCACAACGCCGAAGAGCTGACGAAATGATAAGAGAGAACGACCAACGTGCGCCCATGATTCTTATTGAATTCTTTGATTCCGGATGACACATCGGATAACACGGTTGCTCAGAGAACAAAACGTCGACAAGGGGATGACCCTTCAAAGATAGATGCCCCTTTCGACAAAGCAGAGATTCGGCACGCGACTCAGGGGGGTTAAAAACGGAAAACGCCATAGAATCGAAGTCGAAATTTTTAAGGTCTCCTACCCCGTAATTCAAGGAGAGCTTAAGGACTTTTTCAACGCGTGCCTGTGCTATAGTTTTTTTCCTGAGGCTTCGAAAGAGGGTTCACTTCGCGCCTTATTAAAAGATCCCGATAGAGATGGATCAGATCCGATGTCTTCTCAGATCCGGTGATCGGGAAATACCTGGAAAAACTGCTGACCAAAAGGCTTCGGCAGTATTTTTGGACCACCGATTTGTGGCCGCGAACCAATTTAGTAGGGGGAAGTCGACGACGGATGCGATCCTGGCAATAAAGGAAATGATTAGCGAAATAACAGATAAATATGTCTTTGCCATTTTCTTCGATATCAAGGGAGTATTCGATTATATGTGATGGCCAAGCATATTCCACCGCCTGCGGGAGAGAGACTATCCGAGAAATCTATTCTTTTAGTAATCGATCGAGGACTGCCCGCAAGGATCCATACTCAGACGAAGTTTTTCGAACTTAATCTTCGACGATCTACTCCTCATCCTGAACCGGAGAGGCATGAGAGCGATCGCATGTATAGACGATCTCCTGATACTAATTACCGAATAGTTGCTCTCGAATCGAAATAACCGGACAGGATGCTATAGAGATAATCGAGATAATCGAAGAGAAGCTCACTCTTTCAGCACAGATGATTCTGCTAAGAAATGCACTTGATCCGCGGAGACCACTAAGATAAGACTACAAAGACATCAAATAAAGATGAAAGCAAGCGTCAGATATCTGGGCATATACCTGATACCGACTTGCGGGTGGCACTGCATATCCAAAAAATCAAAACCAGAATCACTAACAAATTAAATGCTAGAGCGGCGATAGCCAAAAAGAACTGGGATTTTGGACTACGCATGTCTATCGATGCTGTACGTGGGGATATTTATTCCGATAGCAACGTACGCGCTAGAGTCGCGGTGTGACAACAAATCAGAGTTTCGTATCAGGCCCAACGCCTCGTTTTGATGAGAGTCACAAAGGCGCACAATCTCGGCGGACACCCTGCTGATGGTGGGTATCCTTTCCATCGATTTGAAAATCAGGGAGAAACGAGGTACTGGATAAAACAAAGATTATAGAGTCAACGAGGTCCTCTCCCAT